CTTAGATTAATTTCTGTGCATTTTCCCAGTAGAGAAAATTCTTGACATTTATGATTGAATGGTCACAGTCTCAATAACTTGCAAGAGACTCCAAAAGGCCATGATATGCTGTAATTTATCATTTTTCTGGGGCTCAGAATTTAATCACTCCAGCTGCAAGGCTATTGTGTAGGAGAAAGTCATATCGCTAAGGGGAGTGGCCAGCCACACAGCATAAGGGCAATGCAGGATTCCACCCTTCCGCAACCCTTTCCCTCAGAAAGGCACCATGAACATTTGCACATTAAAGCCTCTGAGAAGTCTTGCAATAAATGTTTGTTTCACTTTGCTTAACTCAATGTTTCTCAAACTCATTTGAGAATAAACATTTTTTTTACGCACACTGGGTACCGTCAGACACCAGTTTGAGAAAAAATGGTTTAGTAGTTAACTTACAGAATGATTACGAATAAAAAATATAACTTAAAAGATTTCTGCTTCCACTTAACCTCACTTTCACAGAACACATTATATGCAATAATAACGTTCTTGAATAGGGGTACATTCAAGTCATCTGCAAATGTGACATTTTTCCTTCTTTAGTTCCCACTCCTGTGCAATTGTTTTCCTTGCTACATAACTATTTCAGCAATGTCATACTTTGCCATTTTATTTTACTTCATTTGTTCATTTAACAAACATATCTGTAGCCCTCACTGTATATACTATTCTAAGTGTTTTATTAATAACTCACATAACTTAAAACAATCTCATGAATTAGGTGCCATTATTATTACCCCAAATATACCAATCAGAACACTGCAGTTCAAGTGGTGATGAGGTATGCTTGCCTAAACCCTATTTTTTTAGGAAACTGCCACAAATATTTTCCCTTTAGTCATGTTATTGTTTTTAATTATAAATATAAACTTTATATTACATAAAGGAAGAATATCTCTATTCCTTTTTATTTGTTTTAATCTTTCTTTAGTCAACATTAAATATTGAAATATGCTAATTACCTTCCTTAGCCTCTGTTGAGATAATTATGTTTTCTATCATTTCTCAGTTAATATTAATAAGGTATCATGCTAGCTTCACTTTCCAGAAGCCAACAGTCCTTGTTTATACTAGATTACTTGTTTTAATGTATTGTTGTATTTTCTGCATTGAGATTAAGATTTTATTTCTTTTTTTTTAACATTTTAATTTTATTTATTTATCTTTAGAGGGGAAGGGAAGGAGAGAGCGAGAGAAACATCAATGTATGGTTGCCTTTCATGCATCCCCTGCTGGGAATTGGCCTGCAGGGAACTGGCCTACAACCCAGGAATGTGCCCTGACTGGGAATCAAACCACGATTGTCTGTAAGATTTTATTTCTAAGCTCATAAGTGAGTTGAACAGCTTTTCCCTTCTTTATGACCCGGGGTACGGCCCTGGATGGTGTGGCTCAGTTGCTTCAGCCTCATCCTGTAAACCAAAAGGTCCCTGGTTTGATTCCCAGTCTCACATTGAGGTTTCTCTTCCTCCTTTTTTTTCCCTCCCTTCCCGTTTCTCTAGTACCAATTTTTTTTTTTAATTTTAAGATGAGGAGTGTGAATCATATTACCTCAACCGATGCAATGTATAAATATTAATGCAGTGGTTCCTGTGTTACTCTGTGCTAGACACCATGGAACACGAAAGATTCAAACAGAGCAGGATATGAGAGAGAACAGTGGGAAAGGAAGCAGACCTTCTATGGCCATATAGGAAAAGAGAGAAGACAATGATCCTGAGAATTTTTTAAGTGCCCAGAATCTGTGCAACTAAACCCTCATTTTCTATTACTTCATTTTAGTTTCACCCAAAGACTTAGGTTATTACTTCAGTAGAAGAGGCCCCAGATCAACTGAGTGAATAGACAGGGCAAAGTCTGCATCTGTCTGCCCAGGGGGCTATATGCCCACCATCTAGCCAAGCACTGGGCATACAGTAAGTGCTCAATAAATAATTACTTTTTTAAAGACATGAACAAGCTCTTTGACCAAACCAACTGGTCAAGTTGGTAGTCAAAAATGCAGGGTAGTTACTGACTTGTTCAATGTGTCACCAAGAAAAGAGGCGCTGCAAAGATTTCGCCCTCATCTGAAGTCAGTCTGGAGTAGAAGGGAGCAGGAAGCTTGGGGATCTGGGAACAGGACAGCAGACACAGTCCCTGGGTCTGGAGACCTGGGGTCTGGGGAAAGAGAACTTGACCACAGGTTTCCCAACCACTTCCACTTCTCCAGGGACAGCGCTGAGTGTCTCTACAGCTCCAGGGACCTGGACCTGACAGTTGGAGCTTAGCAGCCCCAAAGCCCTCAGAGCTTGTGGGGCTCAGGACTTAATGACAATTATGCAACACAGAAAAGGTCTCCCACTCCTATAATTGTACTTGGAAAGCCCTGAGCAAATCCAGTCCCCTGGTACCTGATGACTAAACTACATTCAGACTCAAGGGAACAGATGTTATATATGGACTGAATAGATATATCACATCCAGTGAGAAAACTTGTCACATCCACTTCCCGTTTTTTTTTCCATCTTTACTCATGTCTTCATGGTCTCCCCCCACTTTCTCCACCTTTCCCCCACCCCCCACTAAGCCCCATTCTCCACTCCAAGCCCTCTTTATTTGCCCTTTTGGGTCTGATGCTCCCCCCTCCAACTCAGCTTCCATTGGGCCCCTTTGCCTGCTCCTCTTCCCCTGCCCTTGTCCTGCTCTGTCAACTCCCCCATCTCCCCTTATTCCCCTTGCCCTAGGATCTGTGCGGGGCTGCGAATTCTACAACTGCTTCCTTCTCTCTCATCTTGGTGGGGTCCATAGCCAGCGCTCCTGTTGCTCAGAGATGTGGAGGCAGTTGCTAAGAGACAGTGAAACGTCAGTACCTGGCCCTCGAAGAAAAAAAGGGAGTGAAAAAGGAAGAGAGGAGGGGGAGAGAGGGAGGAAAAGGGGAGGGAGGGGAAGCCACAAACCCCAGCAGCCTCAGCACCAAGCTGAGTTTCTGGAAGAAGCATTTAGATTCTGTGAACTTTCTTCTCAACATCCCTTCTCGGATTCCCCTGTCAAGTAAAAGAGAGGGACAAAAGAAGGGGATGAGCTCCGGGACAGCTCGGGGACCAGCAAAGGGACCACAGGACGGGAAACCACGGAGGATGCTGCCTGGGGATCCAGGAGCCATGGAGGAGGAGAGGCTGGGGGAGGGGACGAGCTGAGGAGGCGATCTGTTCTCCTGAAGCACCAAGCGGGGATTCCAGCAGGAGGGAGGGAGCCCCGTGTCTGCCGCAGATTGATGGCTGTACCCTTGGAACGGAGTAAGTGGGCTCCTGAGGGCCTGTGGGAGTACAGGCGGAGACTTTGGGGTTCAGAAAAATGAGTCTGGACCAAGGGGAGCTGGGGGGATTTCCCAGGGGGCGGGATCGAGGCTGGAATCAGTGGGAAGAAAGCAGTGCCAGACGAGGAGAATGCGGGATGCGGGGAGGACAAGTGAGGACAGCAGGTGGGCACCGGAGAATCCAGGGGCCAGGGAGGCTGCATGGTGGGTGGCAGGGCGAACCATCGCGCGTGTCATCATGCTCTGTCTCTCTGCCTGACCAAGTGTGGGTGTGGGCTCAAGCTGGGGGACTGAGGGGAGAGTGCAGTGTTTGTAGGAAAGGATGCTGGATTAGGGGTGTGCACTAAGGGTGAAAGATGGTGGGACAGACTGCGCTCCGCTGGAGTGCCTGTACAGAACGAAGCTGGAGAGAAAACTGGGGAGCTGTGAGTGCAGGGCAGGGTGAATGTGTTGGAGTCACAGGAGAAGAACAATGTGTGTATGAGAGAGGGAGGGGAGAGACAGAGAGGGCGAGGCAGCACTAAGAGGGTCTGAAATAGGTTTGCAATCTGCCTGGGTGTGTATGCATTTTTTTTCCTTTGAGAGTTGTTCAAAGGTGGGGTGTTTGGTGCTGTTAGGGGTGGGGCTGTGAGGAGAATAAGAAACTGCATCCAGCCCAGGACAGACACTTTGGAGGATGGCTGAAGGTAGGGGCCGCAAGGTTAGTAGGTGACAGCCATGTGAGGTTGGGTCCTGAGCCCGCCATGCCATGTCTGAGAGACAGTACGCAGAGAACTTTGCAAGTGGTGACAGAGGGGAGGGGATGAAGAACCTGGAAGAGGGGACCATAGGAAGGAGGGGGCACTGGATTTCTCTGCCTGAGGGCTTTCCTTGTTGACAGAAAGAATTCTGCCTCTGCCTGCTGAAAACAAAGCCGACCAAGAAAAGTACTGCCTTGGGAAGTCACCAGAGCTCCTGGCTACCTCCCATCCTGCACTTCCAGGACACATGACCCTTTCCAGGCTCAGCAGTCCAAACAATGGGTGTCACTTGGGATCCTCCCCTCTCTGGAGATTTCAATAGACATTAGGCTGAAGACTAGGCTTTCGGGAGGCCCATGGAGATCCACTTGACCCCGGGCACCCCGCCCAAAACACCCACCCCACGACCCCCTTGGACTCGAGCCCACTGGGCCACCAAAAGAATCGCCTCTGAGACCTTAAATGCTGGATACCCAGGTGCAGCTCTGGCCTCCTAATCATTATTCCCAAACTTGGGGCAGGGTTTAGGGTTTGTAGATGGGCCAGGACCTTTAAAAGATACCTTTCATGTCCCCTACCTATCAGGCAGACTACAGAGAGGAAGCCCCCGTGGTCATGGGTTCAAGGGGCACAAAAGATCTGCAGGGACCCTTCCAGGACCTGTTGGCAGCTGGTCCAACCCCATCCTCACCTCCCTCTCTTCTCAATTTTGATCATCTTTGCCCACCCTAGGGGACCTCAAGTGGGTTGATTGCCCCCATTCTCCAAAGGGAGCTTCCTGAGGCTCTCACCTAGGGAGCCCTCTGGCACTAAGAGGCTCTCCCAAGAAAGACTTGAGCCATGACACCACGTGCTCAGAAGCCCCACCCTCCAGGGCTCAAGGCCCTGGTGTAGCGGCCTTCCTGTGCCACTCGCTCCTGATTCCATGGACACAGCCCCAGTCCTGATGGGCTCCCTTCAGCACTGCCCTTGCCAGCTGCCTAAGATGGGTGACACCTGGTCCCAGCTGCCCCAGCCCGGGCCCCCACACCCAGCCTTGCTGCTGGTCTCCCTCCTCTTGGCAGCTGGGGTGATGCACTCGGATGCCGGCACCAGCTGCCCTGTCCTTTGCACATGCCATAACCAGGTGGTAGATTGCAGCAGCCAACGGCTATTCTCCGTGCCCCCAGACCTGCCCATGGACATGCGCAACCTCAGCCTGGCCCACAACCGCATCACCGCCGTGCCCCCCGGCTATCTCACGTGCTACATGGAGCTCCGGGTGCTGGATTTGCGCAACAACTCCTTGATCGGGCTGCCCCCGGGCCTCTTCCTCCATGCCAAGCGCTTGGCACACCTGGATCTGAGCTACAACAACCTGAGCCACGTGCCAGCGGACATGTTCCAGGAAGCCCACGGCCTGGTGCACATCGACCTGAGCCACAACCCATGGCTGCGCCGGGTGCACCCACAGGCCTTCCAGGGGCTTATGCAGCTCCGAGACCTGGACCTCAGCTACGGAGGCTTGGCCTTCCTTAGCCTTGAGGCCCTGGAGGGCCTACCGGGGCTGGTGACCCTGCAGATCGGCGGCAACCCCTGGGTATGCGGCTGCACCATGGAGCCTCTACTGAAGTGGCTGCGGAACCGCATCCAGCGCTGCACATCAGGTAAGGGAGCGGGCAGGACTGGCAGGCTGGGGGGTAACGTGTGCTAGCCTCAGTGAAAGCAAAGGCTCCAAAGAATAGAAGGGGGCTTAGAGATCTTGAACACCTACTGTGTGCCCTGATCTGTGCTCCCCTCTCTGTACTCAGCTCTTTCACTCCCCAAGTCCTTGTCAGTCCTCATGTTGCAATGCCAGGTGCAGGGGACCATTTCATTAATAAAACAGGCACCACCCTTGCCTCTGTAGCACTTATGACCTAATGAGGCAGACAGACAGTAAACAAGGAAGAAGAGCTAATTATAGACAGTGTTTATTGAGCTTTCTCATGACCCCAGAACTTGGCATGCATGATCTCATTGGTTGCCCATTTCTATTATCCCCATTTTGCAGGTGAAGACACTGAGATTTAGAATCATGGAAAGAATAGCCCAGAATCACTCATTTGAAAACTGGCAGAGCCATGGCTAAATTCCAAGTGTATATGACTTCTAAGTCCTGTTCTACTCTACCAGACTGCTTCTTAAGTGTTTTGAGTGCTGACAAAACTCTTGCAGATATAGAAATGGCTAACATCATTTCTTTTCATATTTACTATCTATCGTGCTCTATTCTAAGCATATTATGTATTTCAGCTCAGCTCGTCCTCACATGAGCCCTAATGAGCTCTCCCTACTCTACACAGAGAGAAACTGAGGCACAGAGAGGTTCAGTAACTTGCCTGAAGTCACAGCACTGCTACGTGTTGGACTCAGGAATCGAACACTTGCACTCTAGCTAGCCTCTGTCTATATCCTGAAGAGTCAGGTTCTAGGCTGACAGGGAGTGTCAGGGCCTGCATTCTGGGCTAGCCAAGGGGCTTCTGCAGCATTCTGTAAGGTTTGAGCACAGGATGAAGAGTTGAGAGAAGAAACTGAGATGTGACAGTTTAGCCAGCCAATCCCAACAGGGGGTAGATTGGAGACTGAATGAGACGGAATCACACAGGGTTGATGGGCACTGGCTTCAGCTGCTGGTGGTGCTCAGTCCTGTTCAGCTGTGGCACAGCTGAGTCTCTAGCTCTCCTGTGTAGCCACACTGAGCTGTGGCACTGAGCAGTAGGATGACGGGAATAGCTGAGGGTACTATCCCAGGGGCTTTCCCAGAGCCTGAGCCCAGAAGTGATGATGAAGACGTAGGAGGGAGATGAGGACTGAGTGGGGAGCCCAGGAACAAAATAGCCTGGGGGAGGGCTGTGGGTCACGAATCCTGTGTTTCCACAGAGGTGTGGGAGGGTGTTTTCTAGGACCAAAATAACTGGGTTCTGAGATGGGACAATGGTAGTGGGCATAAGGGGGGAGGCTGCCTGGAGCAGTCTCCCCACCTGCTGAGCCTGGGCAGGATGCATCTTCTCCCTTCTCTCCTGTGCACGAGGGAAAGAAGGGGCACTCTGGGACACTAAGCTCCCACCACACCTGGGCTCCTCCTTTTCTGGAATCTCTGAGGTCCCTACTGCCCTTCAGAAGAAGCTCAAACTCTCAGCAAGTGAGGAGATCCAAGATCCTGTCACTACATCACTAGGGCCTCATGTCAGTACAGATGAAGGACCCAAGCTCCAGAGAGGGAAAGTGCCTGTCCACAAACCAACAGTGGGAAGTCAAGTATGCCTCAGCTAGAAACTGTGGTTCCTCATTTCCCCACAGAACACGCTCTGTGTCACACCACACTCCCAGATAGTTCCCCCCGGGGGTGAAGAATTTGTTGGTGTAAGTAGGATTAGGCAATCTGCTTCCCTTTGTCTTTTTCTGCCTCTTCTCCCTGTTTCATGGGATTCCCATTACTATCCACAATTTTTAGACAAATCCCAACACAGAGAAAGAGAAGGGTGCCCTTGGGATATAACAACTTCAGGACTGGTCCCTTGACTTACCAGAGAGTTTTGTCAGCCCCCAGGCTCCCACTTTGCCCTCAAGTGGGGTCCTGTCACATGCCCTTACAGCCTCCTCTGGTTGGTCCACACCAATCACCCTCAGTGTCTCCACACTCCCCAATTTTGTATCATCTCACCACCACCCCAGTCATGCCCACAGCAGACTTGGGAGTTCAGCATCTTTCAGTTCCAAGAGACAAGCCTCTTGATGGTCAACTCCAGATACAGTCTTGTCCTGGGCAGCGTCTAGAGTACTGTGCATACAGCCTACAGGGACCTGGCAACCTAAGGCTGGAGACAGGTTGCAATCTTTTTCTGAACCTGACTCCCTATTTCTAGGGAGAATGATGCTCATTCATTTCTCAAAAGGGTCAATCCAATCCATCATTTTATTCTTTGCCCTCAAAAACTACAGAATGAGGAGAAAGCATTGTGTACCATATAATTTTGGAAACTTCACACTGACTCACCTAGAAAATCAGGTTAGATTACCCTTCTTATATGTCCCCTTTCTTCATGAAAGCCAGAAATGGGGAAAAAAGACTTGCCCAAGGTGAGAGCTTGATTAATCTGAATGAAGGAATGGCAGAACTGCTACCTGCCTGCACTTGTACTCCCAAGACAGAGAACAATGGAACCATCAGCAGTCATCAAGCATTTGTACATGTGACCCTGGGAAGACGAGGTAGGACCATCAATAATGGAAAGAACAGTAACCCACTGAAGGGGAAGCTCCCTCCTGCAGAAGTTTGTATGCAGAACACAACCCTCTCTGACATGTCCAGAGAGGCCAAAGTAGGATAATAATAAAAACACATACTTACACAGTACTTAATATATGCCAAGAACATGTCATTTATATATGTTAACTCACTGACTTTTCACCATAACCCTATGAGGTAGATATTATTATTATCTCCATTTTACAGATGAAAAAGCCAAAACACAAAGAGGTTAAATGACTTACCTTCAATCACACAACTAGGAAGGAATAGAGAGGGTATTTGAACCCAGGTCAATAGCTTTAGAACTTGTACTCTTAACCCTACACTTTGTGTATCTAGAAAAGCCATGTGGGGTAGTAGAAAGACCCAATGCTTTAGAGTTGGACAGAGCTGTTTATTCACATATTCATTTAACAACGATTCATTGAGAATTTACATGGATAGGACATGGTTCTGATGCTAAGGATACTATGGGAAATGCTTATATTCAAGGTGGAGAAGGTATATAATTAACAGACTGTCAGACAGTGGTAAATACTGTGGAGAAAAATTAAGCAGAGTAGCTAGGAAATGCCTAGAGAAAGGTGAAGTGGCAGATACTATTATATAGAGAATCATAAGGGAAAGCCCACTAATAAGGTGTTATTTGAGCAAAATCCCAAAGGAAGTGAGGGAGCAAGCTGTGCAGAGATCCAGAAGAGAAAAATCCTCAGAAAGGGACAAATGCAGAGGCACCACCTCCCTACCCCAAAAGGAGACCATGCTCAGGAGATAATGGAACAATGACGAGGAGATGTGAGTGGATGGGGCAGAACAACAAGGGGCAGAATGAAAGAGTTGGGAAGAAGTCCTTGCATCCCCTGCTGAGGACCTTGGCTTTCATTTTGTGGGAAGATAAGCAGCGAGTGACATGACAAGACTTCATGTTTGAATGGATCACTCAGCCAACTGTGTTGACATGGTTTAAGAGCAGAAGCCCAGAGACTAGTTGGAAGACTGCTGTAAGAGACAATGGTAGCCCATGAAAGCCCCATTTCCACCATTAGTAGTGGCTATGGGGCTTTAAGCAAGTTATTAAAGTCTCCTAACAGTGTTCTTCACAACCATAAAAATAGGTATATAAACAATTGCCTTGAGGGCTATTGAGGGGACTAAAGAAGGTAAGTAAAAATTATGGCCCAGAAGAAACCAAACTCTCCCTGGATTAGATAGGAGCTCTCCATCCCGTTCTCTCTCCCCCAGGCACCTCACCCTCCCTGGATTCTGTGTTGCAGATTCTCAGCTGGCGGAATGCCGGGGTCCCCCTGAAGTTGAGGGTGCCCCACTCTTCTCCCTCACTGAGGAGAGCTTCAAGGCCTGCCACCTGACCCTGACCCTGGATGATTACCTCTTCATTGCGTTTGTGGGCTTTGTGGTCTCCATTGCATCTGTGGCCACCAACTTTCTCCTGGGCATCACAGCCAACTGCTGCCACCGTTGGAGCAAAGCCAGTGAAGAGGAAGAGATTTGATATGGGATTTCATATGAGTACCTGTCATCCCTCCATGCTACCAACTACCACTGACATTGACCACCAGACACCCTCCCCGGCTGCCCACTCTGACCCGATAGTGCCCTGGCCACCTCTGTTATGGCTCAAGCAATGTTGAGAAACTACTTTTGGGCAAGCTTCTACTGTGAGCCAGGCACTGTGCTAGGAACACAGTGTTAGATAAATCCACTGTGTCCTTACCCTCAAGGCACTTCCCTTTGATAGAGAGAGAGATTCAAAAACTATTTCTTTTAAGGTCAATGGTTGGCATTCTGAGCACATAGCAATGGAAGCCCAGAGGAGGAGTCATCAACTGTGCCTTGAAAAGTCCAGTAGAAGAACAAAAGTGGAGGTGATTTGTAAGCTGGGTTATCAAAAACCATCTGCTTTGCCAAGCTGACCAAGAAGGTTGGACATGCATGAATGACTGAGGCCAGAATATGCATGATCTATTGAGAACTGTGGTGAACAATCCCTGTAACCTCAGGGTACCAAAGGGGAGTGGCACAGGACCAAAACTTTTTCTCTGACACTCAATCTGCCAATGCTTGGGGCTGCCCACCATTGTTTCAGCAGGGTGAGAATGCCCCCATGCCAGCCCCTTTGGCCACCTCCTATCAACAGCTAGCAGGTGAGACCACCTCCCAGTGACTGCCCCCCACACTAGATCACCAGCAGTAAACAGCTGGAGAGGTCCCAGGTAGCAAGCTGGGGACGGACACCTTCAGTGACCTTTCTCCCACCCCTGTATTCTGCCTCTCACTCCAGCTTTAGCCTCAGATAAAGCAAGAGGCCCAGGAGTGGGGGCAACAAGAGTCCTGGCACTCTGGGACTCTTAATCTTGTGACTGTTCTTGCCATGGTGTTCGTGCCAAGGAATGTCTCCAGGAAAGTGAACTCAGGCTGCATCCCTGTAGCATGACAGTATAGTACCAAAGGAAGAGAAGGCCACCGCTGTTATGATAATAGGAGAATTTGCTCTTTCTTCTAAGCAACTCACCCACTTTACACATAAGGGTGAGAGAGCTATTAATTACCAAGCTCTTGACAGTGTCGGGCACTGTGATAAACTCTCTCCACAGACAATTTTATTTAATGCACATAAGAGCCTTTTGAGGTAAGCATTATGGTTCCCATTTTACAGATGGGCAAGTGAGGTCCATGATGGGCAAGTAGGGCCCAGATAGGCCAAGATCATGTGATGCTTATGAGCAAAACAAGTCTGTACTTTATCAACTACTCCATTCAAGTAAGGGAACATCACAGTTCCCTCCAAAGTTACATGAATTCAAAGTCAAGTAGTGCCTATGAAGCTCCTAATAAGAGCCAGGCACTCTTTTTGGCACTTTCACAGCTATTGACTCATTTATTTCAGTTCTCAAAGCAACACTGCTTGGTGGTTTTATTATTCTCATTTTACTGATGAAGTTGTAGAGAGCTGAGTGTCTTATCTAAGGTTATCCAGATAAACTCTAGAAGGAAGGTGATAGGTAGCTCTATTCAGGGAAACCATGTCTAATCTATCAGTCAAAAATCAAGTGACTTTGTGTGCAAAACACAATTCTCATCATTGTTGTCATCTTCATTATTGGTGTCATGAGCTTCACCATTATCTTCCCTGCACTTACTTGTTCAGCACTGGACAGTTTGTGAAGTGCTTCTGCATCATTCTGCCTGGCTCTTCACAGCTCTGTGTGGCAGACAAACCAAACATCATTACTCCTATTTTACAGATAAAAAAATAATAGACTCAGAGCGAGTGTGACTTGCTTAAGAGGCAGGGTTGAGACTCAACTCCAGCTCAGCTCTTTCCAGTGCTGTCCCAGGTGCTTGTGGAAGAGAACGCCTGGGAGGCTGGGTATGGGACCCTGGGACTCAGCAGCTATGACCATTCTAGTAGATTGGCTAAGTAAAGGGCAAGAAAAGCCCAGTTGCTGCGCAGGTTTAGGTATGCTCACAGTAGGGCAAATCACAGCCTCTGCAGCTTAGAAACAGCACAGATAACACCTGAATAGCAGTCACCTGCCTCACAATATGTAAATAATACATTAGAAATGGTGGCCATCTGAAAAATAGGATCTTTGGTAAATAGGAGAGAAAAATGTGTTAACTTCTTCTACTCAAGCCCTGCTGTGTTGTGTTGTAAGAAATACAAAGGGCTTTAGGAAGCTGTGGGTGAGGACCCTTGCACAATAGAGGAAGACTTAAGGCACAGGCCAACATGTTGCCAAGGCTGGTGGGGATATGAATTCAAACAGGGCTTCCTAGCTTGCCCCAGCTCCAGCGGGTTTTCATCATCCCATTCCCCTGGCAGGCCTGAAGGAATGAAGGAGAAACATTTCATCTTCCAAGAAGTCTTCCCTTACTCATGCTCCCTGAACTAGTCAACCAAAATAGTGCCCATGCACTTTGCTAGACCTGGGTCCCCTGAATCTCACTTGGACCTTGTGTCTCCTGAATCTTGATTACAACATCTGGGCCAGAGCCCTGCTCTTATGACATCTGGAGCAGAACTATGCCCAATCTCTTCTTCTGCTATGTTCAGGGACAGGTGGGCTAGGGCTGCTCTCCACCAGTCAACCTGACAGCCTAATGTATTTGGGTAGGAACTTGTAGAAGTCATAGTCCTGACACAAATAGTTAAGCCTCCCATAGAAGAATACTGTATACATCTATGATAATCTCCTAGACATTCTTGTTTGCTGAAATATAGTCAATATATTTTAAGATATGTACTCTTTCTTTCATGGAACTAGAACGAAAAAAAACACCTAATGCCCTTGATATCAAAGAACCTTTCTAATGAGACTATTTAGTCCCCATTAATGGCAAAACTTTCTGAGTAGGATACATGGCTTTTAAAGAACACATGCTTTTCCAGCTGCTAGAAGGTCCCCAACTAACTAAAGCACAATGAGTAAACTTCCCTACTACAAGGATTTCCATTTCTCCCCCACCGCCTACCACCAGCATCTTGTGCAGTCTCTCAGAAGCAAGTGCCAGAAGCAGGCTTCTAGAGGGAATCTAGCAGTCCTGGCTGAACCTGTTCCCACAATGCTGCTGACCAGCCCACAATGGTGATCTCCCAAGGCACCGTTGTTTTTTCCAGACTCGTTAACATGTAAGTGCTGGGGTATCTTTGAGTCCATATGTCTGTTCATGTGGTTTCATGTATGTTAGGAACCTACCGATATGGGGCCAATCTCTCTGGACCTTGAGTTCAGTTCTCTGACACAGTCTATTCAGTCATCTGTTTATCACATTGCTTGATACATCAAGATGGAATCCCATTAGGGTTGTGGTAGAGATAGCTGCTCAGGAAATATAAAAAGAGACAAGAAAGAGATCTGGCTGAGTCAGATTAATGACAGCCTGACCACTTTCTTCCATTCTCCTCTACCCCTCGGAAATTCCTCCTCATCACAGAAGCTTTCTTCATGTGGGGCCTGAGGATATCAAAGGTTAGCTAGTCAACAGTGTTGTGACGGTCAAGGTCTGGGCCAAGAAAACTGTTCTAAAGTTTTCTAAAGAAAACTGTTCTTTAAAGAAACAGTTTTCTAAAGAAAACTGTTCTTTAGAAAAGACCTCACATCGGCACCATACCACACTGAAGCAGTTACTTCTGCTTATCCTCAGACAATGCCTCTGGATAAGAATGTTTCTCCATTTCTAAAAGATTCCCAGGGAGCCCTGCAGAAACAGATCCCCAGAGTTGCTATAGTCTGCTGGCTGCTTTCATGGAGATTGGTGCATGGAATTTGAACAGACCAAAACAGGTATTTCTCTTCGGCAATCAGGAAAGACCTACACCCCCTATTTTCCCTGTAAATGTTTTGGTTATACTGCTCTGACATCCTTTCCACTTCTAGAAGAGTATAAGGGAACACCTTTGCCCTTTCTTCCCAAAGCTAGAGAAAGTTGTCTGCTCTCTCCACCCTAGAAGGAGGCAATAGTGAAGTGAAGGAAGCAAGTGCAAGGTCCTGTGTAAATCACCATACTGTTTGTCACAGCACTGGGTGGAGACATCTGGAGCCACAGAGCTCTTAGGAATGCTGATGTCTGGGGTGGGAGGGGTGGGGAGGGGTGGGGAAAGGGAAGATGCCCACCTTTGTATGGAAATGATTTTATAACCATGCACTTTTGTAACTGTGAAGAATTTTTCATAAATGTACATTAATAATAAAGAGTGTATAGTTTAACAAATTTTCTAAAGCGTTGTGAAGGGGAGGAAGTAGGAGGGGAGGGAGGCAGGGAAAGAAAGGAACTAGAAGGAATCCAAAGAATGCATACCAAAATATACACACCAAAGATCTATGGGAGGGGCAGAGCCAATGGGAATAATTAGGAGACGTACCAGCCTTGGAGGGGCATGTGTGGGAGTAGAAGGAACATCACAGAAGTGTATTTGTACCAAGCAAAAGAGAATACGTGTGAGTCTGTATGCACACACCCCTGTGTGTAGGCTTATTTTGGTGCCTAAAATTATACAAAGAAAAGAGCATATGTCTTATACATGTTGATGTTTGCAGTTTGGGTCATCTATAAAACATGCCAAGGCAAGTGGGTGTGCCTGCCTAGTTAGCATCACTGAGGAGTATGTGCCAGGGAGGTGGCCCATGCCAGCCATGTGGACAAAGGGACACTAGCTCAGGCAGACAGGTAAACCAGGCATCTCAACTAATGGTCTAGGGGATGGGCAAGGCCATCACTAGTACAGTTTCAGTCTCTGTTCTCAGAGGTTAAAAGAGAAGGGAAGGGAATCTAAACCTCCTGAGTCTTGCAAATGTTGCCTACACACCACTGGAACTGAGATGGCTGAGCAGTGTACCTTAAGAGCAGAAACAGAAATAGGGGGAGTGAATTGTGCTTCTATGTGTGCAATGAAAGACATATTACCTTAGCACACTAAAGAGGAAATGGCACTAAGCAGGAAGTGGTTCTTCCCACCAATACACATTTTAACCTTCTTCCACTCCTCATGTTCCACTCACCACAGGGTACAGACAAATACTGCACTCACAGGTAAAGCCACTAAAGGGAACACAGGCACTGACTCAGTTGGAAAGACAGTGAACATGCCCAGCTACCAACAGTGATTGGTTGGAGGCAAAGCCTTTCTCTTAAAATTAAGTACTTAATGAAGTACTTCTCACAGAAGTCCAAAAGTTGTATATCTTATGCAGTGTATTCTGTCCCTAGTGCCAGACTTATACCTAGCAACTGATGATGATGACAATGACGACAACGATGATGAAGATGATGATAACACGTTGAATATGCATTACGTCCCACATGTTGTGCTAAGATGTGGATTAATTCACTTAATTCTCACAATAACTCAAGATAGGCACTATTATTATACCCATTTACAGATTAGGAAACTGAGGCTCAAACAAATTAATACATGCCCAAAGTTACACAGCTATTAAGTAGTAGATCTGGATTAAATACTTAGTAATATTAACTGACTTCAAGGAATAAGAGCAATATGAGACAGTAAAGAAAATTCAGTCTCAATCAGAAGTAAACTCTTAGCCACAAAGGTTCCTTGCATTTACTTGGTGAAAAAAGAACTGGAAGGTGGTAGGGAAAACCAACACATATCCTGCATGTTTCGTTGCATATGGGTTTGATTACTACATTGGTCAAGGTAAGCTAATTGTGATAACAGGTGATCCCAAAAATCTCAACAGAATAAAAGTTTATTTATTGGATTATTTAAACCAATAAAAGCTAATTTCCTGCTCATGTCACAGTTCAATGCATGTCCAAGGTTCTGCTCCACAAGGTTATTCAGGTGTCTTTCCTCTAATGTGCTTGCCATCCTCAAGGTCACAGAGCTTTTCAGGGAATCTTCTATAATGTGGAGGATCTTAGGGGGGATTTTCCAGGGCCTACTCTGGAACAGAAATATTGCAGATCAATTCAAACCAGAACTCAATCCCCTCGCTCTGTGTAACTTCAAGGAAGTAGACTGTATGCACCTAGAAGGTGAAGGAAACAACGTTTGCTAAACCCCACCAGTTTCTAACACCATCTGTTCTACTAGTCGACAAATGCCTTTTCAATCTTCTTCCCACACTTACCCTCTAACCAACCACACCCAGCTCCCAGCTCAAACTCCCTGATGATTCCCCATTAGGCCTTCTCCTCATAGTCCAGTGACCTAGGAACTATTGTAAAAAGACAAGTTACCACCCGCCCACTTACACATACCCAGTATGCAATGGTGACCCCAGAAGAGAATAACTGCAACTGAAAACCCCTGTTGAGAAAAGCAGGAAACAAAAACACACAGCAGTGTGGCCCATAGCAATTCTGAAATCGTGGTGAGTGAGCAGGTTAAATGTCTCAGATCAACTTCCTTTATTACAACAACATTCAGCCTTTTCTGTGCCTCATGGCTCACACAAACTAATTACTGAAATTCTGCAGCCCCCCCAAAAAAAAAATATATATA